GCTTTTCTTTTTCAAGATTGCTATAGCAGCTATTTGGGATCTTTTGTGGTTCCATACACATTTTAGGATTGTTTATTCTAGTTCTGTGAAAAATGCTGTTGGTATTTTGATAAGGATTGCATTGAATGTGTACATTGCTTTTGGTAGTATGGGCATTTTAACAATATTTTTTCTTCCAATCCATGAGCATGAATGTGTCTCCATTTCTTTGTGTAGCCTTCAATTTCTTTCATCAGTGTTTAATAGTTTTCAGAGTACAGGTCTTTCACCCCTTTTGGTTAGGTTTATTCCTAGGTATTTTATTATTTTTGGTACAATTGTAAATCAGATTGTTTTCTTAATTTCTCTTTCTGCTGCTTCATTATTGGTGTACAGAAATGAAATAGGGGCACCTGAGTGGCTCAGTCAGTTAAGTAAGCAACTCTTGATTTCGGCTCAGGTTGTGACCGTTCATGAGATTGAGCCCTGTGTCAGGCTCCACACTGACAGCATGGAACCTGCCTAAGATTCTCTCTCACCCTCTCTCTCTGCCCCTCCCTCCCTCTCTCTCTCAAAATAAATAAATAAACTTAAAAAAAAGAAATGAAACATTTGTGTAGATTGATTTTGTATCCTGCGACCTTATTGAATTTATCAATTCTAGCAGTTTTTTGGGGGACTAAACACTAAAGGTTTTCTATAGAGAGTATCATGTCATCTGCAAAGAGTGAAAGTTTTACTTCTTCCTTACCAACTCCGAGGCCTATTTGCCCCCTTGTCTGACTGCTGTGGCTAGGACTTCCAGTACTATGTGGAATAAAAGTGTTGAGAGTGGGCATCCTAATCTTGTTCCTGACCTTAGGGGAAAACCTCTCACTTATTCCCCATTAAGGATGATTTTCACTGTAAGTTTTTCATAAATGGCCTTTATTACGATGAAGTTTGTTCCCTCTAAACCTACTTTATTGAGGGTTTTTATCATGAATGGATGTTGTGCTTTGTCTAAACTTTTTTAAATGAAAAATTAAGCTGATTAATCAACTTAGCAGTATGTGCATATTCATTATAGAAATATGGAGATCAATGCCAGCAGGAAAACAGCTAAGAGATCTGAGAGTTTGTTCTTTTGGGGAGCAGAGTTGAGGGGTGGGCAGGAGACAGCTCTTTCTGTTAAATGCCTTCCAACAGTATTTGAACTTACACTTTTAAACTTCCTATGTGCCTGCATTACTTTGAAAAAGATAACTATTAAAGAACAAATGATGTAAAAAAATAAAAAAGATAGGCGACAACAAGCATTGGCAAGGATACAGAGAAACTGGAACCCTTAAACACTGCGATGGGAATGTAAAATGGTACAACCACCCTGAAAAATAGTTTGGCAGTTCCTTAAAATGCTAAGCACAGATTTATCGTTTATTCCATCAATTCCACTCCTGGGTATTTACTAAAGAGAAATGAAAACACGTCCACACAAAAACCATACACTGGCATTCACAGCAGCATTATTCATAATAGTTCCAAGCTGGAAACAACCCAAAACATCTACCAACTGTTGACTAGGTAAACAAAATGTGGTGTATCTATACAATGAGATATTATTCTGCAATAAAAGAGAATGACATACTGATGTAGGCTATAACATAGATAGACTCTGAAAACATTAGGCTAAGTGAAAAAAGTCAGACACAAAAGGCTACCTACTATATGATTCCATTTATGGGAAATGTCCAGAAAACAGATATTTAAATTTTTTTTAGGTTTATTTATTTATTTTGAGAGAGACAGAGAAAGCATGAGTAGGGGAGGGGCAGAGAGAAAGAGGATGAGAGAGAATCTGAAGCAGGCTCTGCACCATCACTGCACAGCCCGATGCAGGGTTCAAACCCATGAAACCATACGATCATGACCCGAGCCAAAACCGAGAGTCAGACGCTTAACCCACTGAGCCACCCAGGCGCCTCTAGAAAACAGATACGTAGAGACAGAAAGTAGATTAATGGTTGCCAGGAGCTGGGGGTGGGAATGGGGAATGACAGCTAATGAGTAGAAAGTTTCTTACTGGGATGATGGAAATGTTCTAAAATTAAAACACGGTGATTATTGCACAACTCTGTAAATACATCAAAAATCACTGAATTCTATACTTTAAATGGGTGAATTTTATGACATGTAAGTTATACCTCAATAAACCTGTTTTTAAAAAAAGCAAATGATGAAGTCTGTTTTAAAAAGAAAACTTTCAGGGCACCTGGACAGGTCAGTTGGTTAAGTATCCGATTCTTGATTTCAGCTGAGGTCATGATCTCACAGTTGTGAGATCGAGCTCCATGTCAGGCTCTGTGCTGGGTGTGGAGCCTGCTTAAGATTCTCTCTCTCCCTCTCCCTCTGCCCCTTCCCTGCTTGCACATGCATTCTCTCCCTCAAGAAAGAAAGAAAGTTCACATTAGAAAGAAAAAGAAAACTTTCAGACTATGAGCTAAATGTTTATCAATAATTTGTTATTATAACAATTTCATTATCATTGTCTTTTTTTTTTTAATTTTTTTTTTCAACGTTTATTTATTTTTGGGACAGAGAGAGACAGAGCATGAACGGGGGAGGGGCAGAGAGAGAGAGGGAGACACAGAATCGGAAACAGGCTCCAGGCTCTGAGCCATCAGCCCAGAGCCTGACGCGGGGCTCGAACTCACGGACCGCGAGATCGTGACCTGGCTGAAGTCGGACGCCCAACCGACTGCGCCACCCAGGCGCCCCAACATTAAGTCTTTTACAGTAAGGAAACTGATGCTCTAAGAAGTCAAGCAAGTGGCACAATTAGCAAACATAGCCAAGTGAAGATATGTGAGCATGCACCCTAACTACAGAGTTCATGCACCTTCTTGCAGTTGTGATTGCCCAGACCCTGAAGAGCTGTGGGCGAATCACACCAAAGCCTGAGCTATGGCTCCCTTCACTGTCAGTTCCATACAAGCTTATCACCATTTATGTGCAGGGCATTGTTAGGCCAATAGGTGACCTCTGCATAGCCCAATATTTTGTCAGAGACAAGCATCGTGATATTGTTTATAATGAATATATATTTGGTTTTAGTGTCCGTTCCTGGCTCACAGCTCCCCAAATCCTTGGAATTTCCTAAGTGATAAGAACAACAGGAGCATCTTTTTTTACAGTAGCTGGTCTTTGTCCTCATTCCTGAAATAGCTCCAGAGACAAAAAAGTGAAAGTAATGTGTTCTTCATAATAAGCCCCTTTCAACCACACCTGAATTTATGTTAATGAGGGAACTTTTAGAAAGCCCTAAGGATGCTGCTAGTTGCCAGGGCAACCAACCATAATTAGATGGTCACATTTTCAGTCCCATCCCCTGACCTCCAGGGAGAGGGGTGCGGCTGGAGGTTGAATGTCAATGAGCAATTAGCAATGAAGCCTCCATAAAAATCCAAGGCAAGCCAGAAAACTTCTGGGCTGGGGAACACATGGAAGTTCCGGTAGGGTGGTGCACTCAGAGCGCATGGAAGCTCTGTAGCCTTTTCCTCATACCTTGCCTTATGTATCTCTTCTATCTGGCTGGTCCTCAGTTACAACCTTTCACAATGAACTAGTAATTTGGTAAGCAAAATGTCTTCCTGAGTTCTGTGAGCTGCTCTAGCAGATCAGTCAAACCCAGGGGATCGGGGGATTGTGGGAACCCTTGATTCTGTGTTGGTCAGAAGCACAGGTGACAACCTGGACTTGGCGGCTGGCATCTGAAGTGGAGTGGGGGGAAATGCAGTCTTGTGGGACTGAGCCCTTAACCTGTGAGGCCTGATGCCACCTCCAGGTAGACAGTGTCGGAATTAACTGCTTGGTGGGGCCAAAAAAGCACACGTCAGAATCATAAAATGCAGAGACCGCATGTGAGTAACTGAAAATGCGTGCTGGCCAATCTGTGCCACAGGTGGTCAGACATTAGCATTTGAAAATTAAGCTTCGCTTCTCTCCACAGCTATGTGGGGTGGCCTAGAGGGTGGGCTTTGGAGCCAGACTCTGTAGGTACAAGTAGCAATTCTGCCACCCAACAGCTGAAGAACAGACCCTGAGCAAGTAACTCTCTGTGCCTCAGGCTCTCTACATCTCTACAGTGGGGATAAAAAAAAGAACCTTTTCTAGAGGACTATAAAGTCCTTAGAGCAATACTAAGTGCTCAATAAGTGTCTTCCATCAGCATTATTTCATCTATATATTTCAACTTGTCACCTATGCAGCCTGACTTTCCCCACTTTTGCTACAATATCGCCCTTTAGCCAGTATGTTTTCTCATCTACCGTGGAATTATGTTTCCTGACCCATATGAAATGAAAGCCCAAAGAGATGGTGGCCGTCATCTGGCCCAAGTCTGTTATTGTACAGATGGGAACAGTGAGGTTCTGCACAGCCGATGGGCTGTCCTGTCCCTGTACAATAACGAGATTACTGTACATTTTTTCCAATAACTTTTTATGCCTCCCAACTTCTCCAGAGACACCTCTTGTCCATTTAGCTAAAGAAATAGATGAGAAAAGGCCATACTGTGATTTTAAAGACTGTCAAATGCTAATTACAAGTCACTCCAGGGGCACCTGGATGGCTCAGTTGGTTAAGCATCTGACTTTGGCTCAGGTCATGATCTCATGGTCTGTGAGTGCAAGCCTCACATCAGACTCTGTGCTGACATCTCAGAGCTTGGAGCTGCTTCAGATTCTGTGTCTCCCTCTCTCTCTCTGCTCCTCCCCCACTCTCACTCTGCCTCTCTCTCTCCCTTTCTCCAGAATAAATAAACATTAAAAAAAAAAAAAAAATAAGTCACTCCACTTGAAAGATAGCATTGAAAGCATTTTAATCCTCCTTCCTGCTTCCCAAACTGCCACCACTAGAAAAAAGAAAAAGCTAGTTCCATGAAAGCTTCGAACCAACACAAAAGTTGTACAGACAATGGTTATTAAGAGGTAGGCTTTTTCCCAGGGAATGGTTAAAGTGTTAGTTTTTTTTTTTCTTGTTACCTTGGTAACTGCTACCTTGGCGCCCTTGTTGATGAGCTGAACCACATTCTCTGCTTGGCCTTTGTACGCAGCTATGAGAAGGCGTTCAGAAAGTGCAGCGACCGCATCCTGCTGGCTCATGAATTAGGAGAAAAAGAGGTTTTCAGGAAAGCAGTAGACAAGTTCCTTCAGCTCAACACGATGCCACTGGCCCGGGCAGGCACCCACGGGTAAACACGCTCCCGATCATCAGAAGGTGCCTGTATTACTATGCCATCTTCGGGACCTAGGGATTACAAACAAAGTTGCCATCAGCACCGCTCAGCACACAGGACAGGCCACACACCTCCTCTCTCTGATTTTAGGGCATCTGCTGATCGCTCACTGCAGGGGACAGAAGCTGAGTGAAGACAGGACGAGCAGGAAGCACATACTCTGCACACCAAGCCCCTGAACTTGCGAGTAGAAGGCAGCAGATGTGCCAACCTCCCTCCCTTTTTCCTCCTTCAGGGACATTCTCCAGAGGACTATGGCCAAAACTGTGAGGTCTGCTCTGTACTTCCATCCCGGGTAGCAGAGGCCTGATATAACCCCATCAACATCACCTGGGTTCCAGGCCTGCCTTTGGCAGGTAACTGTACTGCGCATGATGACGAAGGGCCTTCTGGCTGTGTTTTGTGGGTCCACCACAGCCAACATGCTGATTCCCCTGGCAGGTGAAGATGCCCACGGACCACCCCCCACAGAGACCCTCAGGGGTGGGTTAAACCCTTGGGTGTTCCGCCAGCATTTACTGCAGGTTTTTTGCTTCATCCTTGTCTCACTGGGAACAGTGCAGCTTCCTGAGTTCTGGGACAGACCAAGAACTGGGCACAGGCCCGGGCCATCGCCCAGTTCCAGTTACTGCCGGAACAACCCACCTTGGGAACAACGCGGATGCTAGAAACCCTGACAGTGCATACTGCCAACCGCATCAGGAGGGCCTGGTTTTGTTGTTTCCATGCTTAACAAGAAATAAAAGGCCTACTGAAACCACCTACAGGACACAAAACCCCAGTCAGAGCAGTGGTCTAGAGGTAGTAGTAACTGTAGTAAAATTAAACTCTTCTTTCCACCAAATGACAAATGAACACAATTTTAAAGACCGACTTCTCCCAGGAGCCCTGGGCCACCATTAGAGCAAACCAAAGCCATTGGTAATTTATCCAAAGTAAAGTGTTCTTTGGAAGGAATGCTTTCAAGAATTGAACCCACTCAGGGTGCCTGGGTGGTTCAGTCGATTAAGTATCCGACTCTTAGTTTGGACTCAGGTCATGATCTCATGATTTGTGAGTTCAAGCCTCACATCTGGCTTTGTGCTGTCAGATTCTCTCTCTCCCTCTCTCTCTCTGCCCCTCCCCCATGTGTGTGCATGCTCTGTCTCTCTCAAAATAAATAAACTTAAAAAAAAAAAAAAAAGAATTGAATCCACTCCTGCTAGGACAGCAAGTAAGTGAAAGCTTCTTTGTGTTTTGAAACATACTTATTAAAAATACCTATGGGGCACCTGGGTAGCTTAGTCAGTTGAGCCTCGACTCGATACAGGCTCAAATTGTGATCTTATGGTCCTGAGATCAAGCCCTGCATCAGGCTCCACTCTCAGTGTGGAGCCTGCTTGGGATTCTCTCTTACTCTCTCTCTCTCTCTCTCTCTCTCTCTCCCTCCCTCCCTCCCTCTGTCCCTCTCTCCTGCTCGTGCACTCTCTCTCTCAAAATAAATACTTTAAAAATATTCCAATACATGCAAATACAAAGAAAATGCTGTGCCAAAAGGACTGCACTCTTCACCCTAGACCCTACCACACATTCTAATTTTGAAGGCCTGGAAGATACAGACATCTTTTACAGTTGCTTCCAGGCAAACCCAATGCTCCTTTCAACCTCTAAGACAAAGGAATTGGCCATGAGACGACTAGGAAAGATCTGGACTCTATGTGCCTTGCTCTAACTCTTGTTCACCATGACATTCCAGGCAATTCATTTTGCCAACAGCTCTGAGAGGCTGGGGTTAAATGATCACACATAAAACAGACACACACACACACACACACACACACACACACACACACACACACAAAGAGGACCATGGTGGGATTAAAGATGGCTGTTTACTATGTGAAAGTATTGGCCGAAATGTGAATAACTTCAAAAAGGTAATTATTATCCCTCCTGCCCCAACTTGTTAATCATCAACTTTTCTCACTTCATCTGTATGTTGCCCAAAATGTGGTTAAAGAATAGCAAGGAGGGGCGCCTGGGTGGCGCAGTCGGTTAAGCATCCGACTTCAGCCAGGTCACGATCTCACGGTCCGTGAGTTCGAGCCCCGCGTCAGGCTCTGGGCTGATGGCTCAGAGCCTGGAGCCTGTTTCCGATTCTGTGTCTCCCTCTCTCTCTGTCCCTCCCCCGTTCATGCTCTGTCTCTCTCTGTCCCAAAAAAAAAAAAACGTTAAAAAAAAAATTAAAAAAAAAAAAAAAAAAAGAATAGCAAGGAAAGAAAGAACCTCCACAAATCCACCTGCTCTGCTCACTGGAAATGCAACAAACCCGGAGAAGGTATGCTCCAAAGAGAGGACTCCTCTCTTAACCATGGTCAGAGACCCCTGGGATGCATGAGGAATCTCGGTTGAATGAATGAGCCAATGAAAGAATCAAGCTGAAACTCAAAACAGAGAAACAGAGCTGGAAAATCCACTGGAAATTCCCAGGGTCCCACTGAAAGACTAGTTTAGGCTTTATGTTTCCCAGACCTTTCTACAGTGTAGAAGTTGTTTTTGGAAACGCTGGATACATTCTCTCTTTATTCAGGTAATCTGTGGTATCTGTAAACCAATTATACTGAGCTTCCCAATACTGGGTTTGTCCCAATATTGCAAGAACACTCCAGGCACAAATGGCAGGAAGCTACAATATTAGTCGTGACTTCCAAACTGCTCTCCCTCCACAACCACATTGTTCATTTACTCATTTGTTGTCTTTGCACGCTCAGCCTGAACTGCCACCTTCCCCTGTATCCAAACTTTCCTTGCAGTGAGCATCTGAACGTCTCAATACAATGGCCCAATTCATACAAATACTATTAAAATTTCACTCATTTTACTTCAGAGCTTAGCTCCTGGAGATAGAGACATCCTTGCTGCAAACTAGTGCAGCCCACCAGCTGAGGTCACGAGCTCCAATCCAGCAGCACTGGCCAGTCTCCCCAGCAACAGATGCAGGGGTCAGCAGGCCTGTAGTACATGGACAGCCACTCCCCTCCGGTCCCAGACAATAAATTCAGCTCTCACCCACCCACTGCCATGGTTGCAAGCTACTGAGATAGCCTCGTTTACATAACTACCTTTGGTAAACAGCCCTTTATAAGTCTAGCACACACTACTATTCACTTTGTTTTAAGACAGAAAAAAACACTACAGTTGAGAAATATTGTCCAGACTTTTTTTTTTCTTCAGTTACAACTACTTAAGAATGAAATGCTCCCCACTCCCCACCCTATCCCACCCCCTCCACCATGGCCAATACACAGCCTGCCTGAGGCACAGGGATTTGTTGCTCACAGAATTTTGGATACCGCTCCCACCATCCCCCCACCCCCAACTAGAATTGCATAGAAAACTGCCTGCAAAGTCAGGAACAGAATCCCAGGTTTCCAGTTCCTAGTCTGTGGCTAGTATCATCCCTATGTGCTTGGGCATCTCAAGTTCATTCTCAATTGAAATCCAGTAATAGCATCACTGGTAGGATGCCCAGTATTCACCTACAGTTGCATATACACACAGGATGGGTGGGAAAGAATCAAAGTGGCTGAGTCTTCTTTTCTGTTTCCTCTCTGTACCTCCATCCTTTTGGAGGAAGGGGTTTCTCATCTGACACCTCTGAACTGATAAATCAGGAAGGCAGAGGCAGGTTGAGGGAGAGGAATAAGGAGGATAGAGGACCTTCACCAATGAGTGGGGAGGGTTGAGGAATAGAGACCTAGCAACTAGTCTGCAATCAACGAGTTAAACTTCACTGCCAACCTGTTGGGTACCTCGGCTGTAGCAGCCCCATTCCCTCATTCAACCTGAGCCTCCTCTTCCAAGTAGATCAGCTATCATTCAAGACACTTCCCACTGTTGGCAGTGAGGAATTTCTTCTGCCCTATATCTATCAATCACATCCTTCTTTGTCACAATGCTCACTTTCACAGCATTCTGGAGAAAAACATTAAATGCAAACATACTGCCAGCTCTTTAAGCAGAAATGAAATAAATCCATGATCATAAATATGCAATGAGCATCCTGAATCCAGAAAGGTATTTAGCTTCTAAGAAAGATTTCCCTGCTTTGTCCTAGCCCACCGCCCCATTTTCACTGCATTCCAATTTGCAAATGCTTTTTTTCTCTCATCACAAATGCTAGAGGGCCACACAGCTGCTTGGTCTGTGATGCGATCTGTTTTATTTTTATAGCAAAAGGTCTATGAGGTTTGCTTTTGCTGCTTTCTTGAGGATTTACAAGGAAGTCTCCCGGTACCAATATCCCCAAACTACTACATTCAGTTTCCTGACAGGCAACCTATTTTAGAAGAGACCTGCAAACAGAAGTCCCAGCCAGGCATATGCATACCCCACCCAGAGACAGTCCACAAGCACCCAGAATCAGTGGTTAAGGGAGCACCATCAGTTACGATAATTCGCTTTGCTCCCACTGCTTAAAACTCTGTAGTGAAGAGAGATCGTACTCACATCCGGGGGTCTGTCCTCCCCATTCTACATGGTGTTCTGTTGCTGGGTAATTGCTGTCAATTATTTCCTGGAGACATGATTAGCTTCCTAGGGTTGTCACGCCCAGTGGGTCTGCAATCATTTACTTGCCTTTTTCCCTCGAGCTCTCTCTGCCAACTCTGGCCAAATCACATCTGAAAGCTTATTAAGACATCCATTCAGCTCACAATGTCGTGGCTTCCTCCTAGTCTGCTCGTCACAGCTTCTGAAAGTCTTAGGGCTTCAGGTTTTGTCAGACTGCTCCCTTCTGCCGGCAGAGGACCTGTAACACTGCCCTATCGAAGAGTCAGGGAATAATTCACAAATGGGAGGAATGCTTTTGAATGAGAGAAATGAAGTCTGAACTCTGCCAGCAGTAATGCCAGGAGAAGAGAGGGATGTGCATGTTGTAAGGGAGGGAGAACGAAGGAGGGGTCAAGATCTATAATGAACCACCTTTCTGGTGACAACAGTCCACCCTCCTTGGCAGAGAGTTCCAGCACAGCGACTGCAGCCGCACGGGAGACAAGAGGCTGGGAGAGCAGCTGTTTCAGTGTTTGTAAGTCCAGAGTCTGTCTCACAAATGCTCCTCTGAGTCTCTGTGGGGTGGGGGAAGGGAGAAGACAGGGAGCAAAACTGTTCAAGTGCTGTCAGTGGTCCTAAACATCACAGGGGTGTCCTCCAGACCACTTGTAGAAGCAACAGAAAACTAACTCCCCAACTGAAGCAGTCCTAGAAAGGAAGAGTAGAAAGTCAAATTTCATTTTGACTTGAGCCGCATCACCACTTTTTCCTTATTTCTAAAGCAAGAATTATTGGTCCTGAAGATGGGAGAATTAATGTCAACGTAAACCCTCCCTGATCAAGACCTTGCCCCCATCTCCTTGAGGATAGCAGCTCTTACGGGCAACAGGCTGGGATTCTGCTGTGGCCATTATCTGGTTTATACCAAAGGCAGAACAGCCAGACTCACGGCAGTGCGTTACAGGGAGACAAAGCGCCAATAGAATGACAAGCTTATTTTTAGCATGCAACAATCGTACTAGTTTAGCCAGAGGTGGTGACTGCTGGATACTGCCATCACCCCTAGGGGACAAATCAGGTTAGAACAGAGACTAATGTGACTGACTCCCTACGTTAAAGAAACCGGCCCTGATGAGTCTCAGCGAGGGCCCAAAGGCCAGATGAGAAATGTAAACTGAATGTGACAGAAGTATAAAGAAAGGAGTGGTTACTTTTCTCAAAGCTTCTGGGACATTTCCTTCTTCTGAGAATATGTATTCCGCAGGTAGGGACCCTCAACATAATACTATCAATGAGAACAGTACAGCACTGGCCATTCACAGAGCCTGGTGTCCACAAATGCTATCTCCAAAACACCAGGACAACAGGCACAGAGCAAGCCCATGACTCATTTTCTATACCTCACTATTGCAAAGGAATGCGTATGCTACCTGAAGTACAGTACTTCTGACACTTACTGAATCTTTGAAATAATCACCTTTGCAGGAGGCATATGGAAGCTGTTGCAGTAAAAAGCTGAGTGACATCAGGAAACCTGTGACATACTCTACCATAAAGAAAAGCTGCTACAAAATGTAAAAATAGTACCCGAGGCATAAAAATATCATTGAATGAAGTTATGACTGTCAGAAAGCTTGTGGTGTAGAGACCTCTTCTTTTCACATGGGACAATAATTACTTGTTGACTGCCCAGCACTGCTACATCACCAGAGCCACCAAGCTGGGGCTACTGAAATCACATATGCTGATATCTGCATGCTCAAAATCCAGAACAGGAGTCATTGCTGAGCTTTCTGCAGTCCCTTCTTTCCCCAGATAAGGCAATCATGACTGTGTCTGTGCTCTTACAGTTTTCTATAAGCTTCCATTATGGGCTGATTTGTCTCCCCCCCCAAATTCATATGTTGAGGCCTAACCCACACTGTGACTGTATTTGGAAATAGGGCCTTTAGGAGGTAATTAAAATAAAATGAGGTCTTAAGGGTGGGGCTCTGATCTGATAGGATTAGCGTCCTTATAAGAGAGACATCAATGGAAGTCTTTCTCTCCCTCTCTTTCCCTCATTCTCCCCCTCATCATACTCCTACCCACCTCACCCCCCACCCCCATTCTCAGAAGAAAGGCCATGTGAATACAGAGCAAGAAAATGGCCACCTGCAAGCCAGGAAGAAAGTCCTCACCAAAACCCAAACCCTCCTGGACCTTGATCTTGAACTTCCAGGCTCGAGAACTGTGAGAAAATAAATTTCTATTATTTAAGCCACTCAATCTATTGTATCTTGTTATGGCAGCCTGAGCTAAGACAGCTCCCCTCATGGTGGAATTGCTGGCATGGACTCAAGATCAATATTCCTACTTAGACTAAACTCCTTGAGGACAGGAATTCTGTTTTGGTTATCTTGTATTCCAGTACCTGGCATGGTTCCTAGAACATAGCTCGTCTTTAATGTGTGTTATGTGGATGTCAGAAAAAACTAATAACTAATTGCTTTCCCTAGTCATTAACTGGTCTTCAGGAGCCTGTAGATCCCATGAGAAATAGAGAAGTGTCACCAAGTCAGCAAACCTTTTTCTCCTTCCCCCACAGATGAGGCAGGCTATGGCTCCCGAACCTCCAAGAGAACTAAACGGATGTAGTCCTTCTCCTGTCTCCCTCCCTCCCCAAAATAGAGGACCACAGCTGCTGGGAGAAGAATTACCAGCCTCAAGACAGACCCGACCCAGTGACACAGGTCTGTCAGCACCCCAAGGACTGGACAGCGCCACAGCCCCTCCAGGAATTTTCTTCTCCCTACCCTCAACCCCTGTTGGGTAAAACCACAAACACTAAAGACAAACCAAAAGAAGCAATATCACATTATAATAAAACCAATCCCCACACATTAGTCTACCTTCCATGCATACATTTCTCCCTCCCACTTGTTAAATCGCTTTGATCAGGCTTCTTTCTGCCCCCAATTCTCACTAAACTGTTGATGTTGAAGACTGTGGGCACAAAGAACTATAGAATCAAGGAGAGGATTCTTTCTTGCTTAGTGTGCTATGGGTGAAAGGGAACAGCAAAGTTCTCACAGAAAAGGGTAGGTCTGGGATGTGTGATGGAAGATATGTAGGATTTTGTTAGGTAGAGAAGGGTAGAGGAGATAGGCCGAAAAAACCAGCAAGAGCAAAACAGGCAGCGTTGGTCTGCAAGTGCACATCATGAATGGGAAAGACACGCAAAGAGACTGTTGCAGCTGAAGCTTATAATACATGGGCAATGATCCAGAGATCACGTTGCAAAGTTGGGCTGTGAAAAAAATTTCATATCATGCCAAAGACATTGGTTTGTATGTTGCATTTGTGATGGGAGCCCTAGAAGTTGGTAAGCAGAATAGAAACTAGTTATTTTTTACTCAACTTGGAATTCAAGAATTCCAAGAATTGGATTAAGTATAATTATGGGTTGATGCTACACTTTCAAGATTGTAGGCACATGGCTTTCTTTCTCTTTCTTCATTTATTTCTTCTTTAATTCCTTCCTTTCCTCTCTCCTCCTTTCTTTTTATGTTAATAGGTTTAGGTTTACAGAAAACTTAGCAGAAAGTACAAAGTTTCCATGTGCCCTCCACCCATTACTGCCCCTACCCTCTGCCAGTTTCCACACATTTTGCATTGGTGTGGAAAATGTTACAATTGATGAGTCAATATTGATACACTACTATTAAATAAATCTATGGTTTACATTAGGGTTCTTTGTGTTGTATAGTTGCATGGGTTTGGACAAATGTAAAATGAGGTATATACACCATTACAGTAACAAACAGAATAGTTTCACTGGCCTAATGCTCCCCCTATTTATCCCTCCCTTCCCCCAACTCCTGGCAACCACCAAACTTATTACTATCTCTATAGTTTTTGCCTTTTCCCAGAATGTCATATAGTTGGAATCCCACAGTTTATAACCTTTTCAGTTGGCTTCTTTCACTTGGTAATATGCATTGAAGTTTCCTCCATGTCTTTTCATGGCTTTATAGCTCAATTTTTAATCACTAAATAATATTCCATTCTACAGATATGTCAGTTTGTTCATTGATGCACCTATTAAAGGACATCTTGGTTGTGCCCAAGTTTTAGCAATTATTAATAAAGCTGCTATAAACATTCATGTGCAGGTTTCTGTGTTATACTTTTAAAAAAATCTCATTTGGGTAAATACTAAGGAGTACCACTGCTAAATCATATGCTAGGAAATGTTTAGCTTTATAAGAAACTGCTATACTATCTTCCGAAACAGCTATAACATTTTGCATTCCCATCAGCTGATTTTACATTGACCTAATTGCCAAATGCAATGGTGACTTTCGGTTCTTACCTTATATGATTTCTCTGTTGTATTAGGCACTGCTATCGTTCCTTCATCACACTTCCTTCTCCTTTGGTTTCTGTGACCCAGTCTCTCTTCATTCTCCCACCATCCCTTAAATTATTTATTTTTCTCATTCAGGGGCTCTTCTTTCACTGGTCCCTTAAGTGCTGCAAGTCCCTGAGATTCTATCCCTGATTGCCTTATCTTCTCATTTTCTTCTCTGGAAAAATCTCAGTTACCCACCTCCCCACCCCCCGCTGCTGCTGCCCACATGCTCCTCTGCTGCCTAGATACAGACTTCTTTAGCCTCAATCACTTACTCTGAAGCTCCATATTTTAAGCACCCAACCATTTAACAGACATTTTACTTGGATGTCCCCCATCAACATGTTCACAACCAAATCATCATCCTTCTTTCAAACCCATTCCCCTTCCTGTGTCCCCATCTTGGTGAAGGACTCCACCTTTCATCTACCTGCCTACTTCTCTAAACTGGAACATGCCTCCCATGCCTGATTCTCCTTCCCCCACTTCCCCATTCCATAAATTACCAAATCCTTCTGATATGAGACAGTAATGCACAGAGATTAAAAATGAGAGTTTTGGGGCGCCTGGGTGGCGCAGTCGGTTAAGCGTCCGACTTCAGCCAGGTCACGATCTCGCGGTCCGTGAGTTCGAGCCCCGCGTCGGGCTCTGGGCTGATGGCTCAGAGCCTGGAGCCTGTTTCCGATTCTGTGTCTCCCTCTCTCTCTGCCCCTCCCCCGTTCATGCTCTGTCTCTCTCTGTCCCAAAAATAAATAAACGTTGAAAAAAAAATTAAAAAAAAAAAAGAAATATTTAAAAAATGAGAGTTTTGAGGTCAAGATTGCCAGGGCTCAAATCTCAGCTCGGCCACTTACTTTGGGCAAGTTTCTAATGACTCTAAGCCTGTTCTCTCATGCATAAAATAGAACAGTTCTTACCTCACTGGGTTGTTGCAAAGATTGAATGAGCTATTACACACACTATACAATGCCTGGCACATAGAAAGCACTCAGTAAATATAAGCATGGCTATATGATTGCTGCTTACAGGTGCTTTGATCTGTTCTCTCTTCTCTAGTTGCATTGCCACTGCTTTCAGTATTCATCATTTATTTTTTTTTTTAATTTTTATTTTTTTAATTTACATCCAAGTTAGCATATAGTGCAACAATTATTTCAGGAGTAGATTCCTTGGTGTCCCTTACCCTCTTAGCCCCTCCCCCCTCCCCCAACCCCTCCAGTAACCCTCTGTTTGGTCTCCACATTTATGAGTCTCTTCTGTTTTGTCCCCCTCCCTGTTTTCATATTATTTTTGCTTCCCTTCCCTTATGTTCATCTGTTTTGTACCTTAAATTCCTCATATGAGTGAAGTCATATGATACTTGTCTTTCTCTGAGTATGAAATCATTTCTTACCTGAACTATCACAGTGGTCTCTGACTGGATGCTAAAGATGTTTCTTGAAATTCTGCTTGTGATCATCTAAACTTGGAAACTGGGATAAGAAAAGTGAAGTAGTTTTCAGCTTGTGAAATGGAAGCTGCTGATGCAGATGAGATTTTAACAAGGGAAAAGTAGGCCAGACTAATGTCCAGGATGCTGACAGTGAGTGTACTTTGGCTCACAGTACATCTTCAATAAAAGATAACTTTGCAGACATCAATATAACCTGCCTGGATAGTTGTTGGGATTTATTAAACTAGACCCTCAGGAAAGATAGAGCCATTGAGCCCATAGTGTTAAATTCTCTCTCTTTGGACTGGGCCTTAGAAGATCACTGAGCCATTAAGATGTAAGTTCCCCTTTCTGATATGTCAATGATAGAAGAAAGGGAGTAATGAGAAACTTCTCTTCTAGTTTGTTTCAAGATGGCAAAGATGGCAAACAGACAGATGAGCTGCACTGCAGGAGGAGTCATTAACACTGTGCCCATCTGCCAAGCAATAGTCTGCTAAGTGGCGGCACCTAGGTCTTTGGTACAGTTATTTTGCCTTTGTTTATGGACCTCTCATCCTCTGTGCCTCTGGACAAAGAGCATCTTATGACCAGACCATTCAGGGGTTATGGAGACTGTTAATCACAGGACAGAAGTTTGCATGCACTCCTTGTCTCAAGTCCTGCCTACTCCCTCCCCGACCTTAATATACGTGATCGCTGTCAGAATGCTCTTTTCACAACAACTGTGATAGTGCTTCCTCTTTGCTTATAACCCTCATGACTCACGTTACCCCAGAACAAAGTCCAGTGAGACATGACCCGGTCTTACCTCTCTCTCCAACCACCTCCTCTGCTGACACCCCACCCACCCACTCTGCACTCTGGCTTGGCCATAAGTGTACTCAGAACACCTTAAAAGAACCATCCTGCCATTTTTGCTTATAATACTCTTTAGATCTTTTCCAAACTCTTTCTTATCCTTCAAACCTGATTCAAGGTGTCCTTCTCTCAAAAGATTCCTCCAATGTTACTCTATCATCCAGGCTCCCAAGGCCCAAATCCAAAGTACTCTGAGCTCAAATCCCGGCTTGGCCACTTATTTTGGACAATGTATTTAATAAATCTAAGCTCCTTTCCTCAGGGTACCTGGGATATGGGAAAGATCTAAAAAGCATTGTAAGCAAAAATGGCAGGATGGTGCTTTCAAGGTGTTCTGAGTACTCTTGTGGCCAAATAGGAAGAATGACAGTTTTTACCCATTGGGCTGTTACAAACATTGAATGAGACCAATACAAAATAATGTAACGTTTAAACCTCACTGTAAATATTTACCAAACCGGACTGCAAGTGTGTGATGTCAGTACTCTTGGCCTCTCTTCCTACCTTCTGATTAAAAAGCCTTTCTGTTCACTTCCTCTTCTCTAAGGAGAATGTCCTAGCCTAGCCAGAAAGGCTCCTGGACTTCAGGATGCAGAATTAGAGACAGCAGAGAAGAGAAAGGAGAAGGTTGACTTGTCAAAGGAGGCCAAACTAATCTGTACAACAAAGAGCTGGGAGAGAAAGAAAGAAGTGCCATGCAGGACAGAGAATGGAACAAGAGTTTCTGCAGGGTGGTGGTAAACAATAATAGACTTCTGAACATTGTGGAATGTGAGAGGATTTGGGGGAGTGGGGGAGGTGGGGAAGGGGATGTGAAAATCGTTACTGGGAGTTTAGGAACTGGGTTTCCTTTAATTTTGTAAGAGCAACAAGTAAATGATGACTATTTTTTTTTTAATTACTTTTGGTCTTTGGATTATGATTCTTTGACTGTGTCCCTACAAACACTAGCCCACATGAAACTGAAATTCTTTAGGGTTACACTTGTTTACAAGGTCTTTGCTCTCAGACTCAGCTTCTCCAGACACAGGGACTGTGTCTCACTCCTTTCTGTAAACCCAATGCAAGCACACAGCCTGGCGCATGGCATATAAACAATAAATGCTTTGCTGAGCAAATAAACATATTTACGCTTATACAACTGGATCATAGACTCCTATGAACAAGTCAATGCTCTTATTTTTCCAGGTGTCCAAATAAGTCATTAAATGCTGGAGTTCAATGGTGGCACCCAAAAAGATATGTCATTGTCCTAATCCCCAGAGCCTGAGTACTAAATTATATGACAAAAGATATATTATGTTAAGGATCCTGAGAAGAGACAGTTATCCTGGATTATCTGGGTGGGCCTGAAATGCAATGACGTGAATCCTTATAAGAGAAGCAGAGAGAGTTTTAAGACAGGAGAGGAGGCCATGTGACCCCAGAGGCAGAGATTAGAGTGATGAGGTCACATGCTACCTGGAGCCATCAGAGGACAGATGAGAAAAGGAAGAATTATCCCCTAGGGCCTCCAGAGGGAGTACGGTCCAGCTGACTGACACCTTGATTTCAGACTTCTGGCCTCCAGAACATGAAAGAATAACATCCTATTGTTTTAAGCCATTGAGTTTATGGTGATTTGTTACAGCAGCCACAGGAAACTAATACAAATGCCTTATACATAATGGATGTTCAATAACTCTTTGTCAATTACCTGTCTGGGTCACTTAGAATCACAAGCTGTGCTTCCTGTTCAAAGTCACTCACCCACACTTTGTGGTAAAGAGCCAAGGGTTCTACTATGTCGCTTCAAAACTTGTGATGGCTGTTGTAACCAAGGGGCCCCTCACTACCATCCGAGAGATCATCAGGTTCCAGGGGCTAAGTGTTTGCTGACTGCATATTCTTACAGAATGTCCTTCACTCATTTCTTCAGGAAGGATAGTACAGTAGGGGAGCACTTGACAATGGCATGATGCCAACAGGAGAAATGTGTCATGCCATGGAGGGTGGACAGCCACCCTTACTGGGACCACTCCAACGGGCAGCCAACTCAGATT